ATTGGCTTCCAATTTTGTTCAAATTTTTCAAATTCATTCAGAGCTTTTTGCGGTTTTTCAAACAGGTTTTCCTGTGACTCGATTTAATTTTATCGTGCCATAAATATTGGCTATCTTTTTCCTCGTTTCTTTAACATACAGCTCACATATGTGTTAGAGGAGGTTTTACTAGGTCTACTGGGTGTATTTCTTTTGGTGGTCGCGAGACGGCCTCAGCGTTGACATTCTGTTTGCCTTTTTTATATTGAATAGTTTATTCATATTCCTGAAGTTTTAGTTTCCACCTGACTAACCTTGAACTAGGTTTTTTAATGGAGAAGAGCCATTGTAAGGGTTTATGATCCGTTACTACAGTGAATTTTCTACCAAATAGATAAGGTCGAAAGTACTTTGTAGCCCACACGACGGCAAGAAGTTCTTTTTCTGTTGTAGAGTAGTTAAGCTCTGCATGATTAAGTGTTCGACTAGCGTATGCTATCGGTAGATCAGTTCCAATAGTTCCTTGTCAAGAAATTGCTCCGATATCGTAGTCTGAAGCATCTGTTGTTAAAACGAAGGGCTTATTGAAATCCGGGTATTGATAAGATATTTTTACAAATATTAAATGCCGTAATAAACGCTTTATTATAAGTTATTTTAACGTTTTTATTTAAGCAATGCGCCAATGGTTTAGTAATTTTAGCAAATTTTTTTATTAATTTCCTGTAATATCCGACAAGACCAAGGAAGGATTTAATTTCTTTAAAATTTTTAATGGCTTCAGTTTTTGTGGGGCTTGCTTTAACTCCGTCCGATGTTATCATGTGTCCTAGGGATTCCACTGTTTTCTTTAGGAATTCAGATTTATCCAATTGTATCTTCATATTGAAGGATGCAAGTCGATCAAAGACTAATTAGAATGAGTCCATATGTTCCTGAAAACTGGTAGAGTATATAATGATGTCGTTCATATACACAAGACATGTTTCCGTGTAATCCGCCCAATACATTGTCCATTGCGCGCTGAAATGTAGAGGGCGCGTTTTAAAGACCAAATGGCATACATGTATATTCGTACTCTACGTTAAATGCTGTTTTCAAAATTCTTTCAGGATCCATTTCGATTTGGTGGAATCCATTTGCGAGGTCCAACGTTGTGAAATATTGACATCGTCCTAGTTTATCCGGTATATCAGTGATATTAGGTATTCGGTATTTATCGTCTATAGTCTTCTCATTCAATTTTCTGCAGCGAGTCTCCATTTTCTACGTCCAGATGTGTCTGCTTTCTTTGGTACAATCCACACTGGTGACCTCCAAGGGGAACTTGGGGGTTGAATTATTCCTTCTTGTAACATTTCTTCTATTTGCCTATCGACTTCTTGTTTATGGATATACGGATACCTATATGATTTCGCATGTACGGGAATTTCGTCGCTAGTTTTAATTGTGCGTTTTGCTTGATTTGCAAAGGTTAAAGTATCTTCGGGTTTATGTAAAATATTTTCGAATTTTCTTACGCATTTAAAATGCTGTTCCTTCTCTTTTGAATTTAGATGTTCATCTCGTATTAAATTTCCAACATCATTTTTTTGATATGTTGGGTTTTCTATGATTGGACGATTGAGAACTGGTATTTCTAAATTAAATATTTCAAAGTTGTTACGTTCGAATGGTTCTAAAGGTAAGTTGTTATTAACACTACCTTCGAGGACAATTGATTTGACTGAATGTTTAGATATATCAAAAGTAAAGGAATTATTTGTAATCGTAACAAGGGTTGGTTGTATTTCAACTGCATCATCACGATAGGAGGACATTATCCATGTCGTATCATTAGGTAGGTTAGTCCTGAGTGTTGCTTTTTGTTTAGTTCTACTACGTAGTCGTCGAAATTTTGTCTATATTGAAAGAAAATTTCTATGTATCGGTTTTTTAACTTTGTATTCTCAAATCAATATTTAAATTTAGTTTACAAAGATCTTTGATTCCTAAAATACCGTGAAAATATTCATGAAATTGGTGTAGAATAAATTCAATTGGTTCGGTGATACCAAAGCATGTAATTAATGGGATAGTTGCTTTATGTGTGACTTTCTTTGAACGTGCACATGTTTGAAGGGCATTTACGTAAGGTTTAATTAATTCGGGAAAATAAGTTTCTGCTAAAGCGGGTCTAAGAAGAGATGCATGGGAACCTGTATCGATAAGTAAACGGCTTTGATAGGGATTTCGATGTAGGTAGGGTAACTGATTTATTTGAAAACTATTTAGGGTTAAACAAGGTTTGCTTCGTCCGAGGCTACTGACTGAAAATTTTCCAATTGATCAATGATGTTATTTTCCTCTTCGAACTGTTCAACATTCTCGTAGTTTGAATCATAATTACATCACATATTCGTTAAGGTCAGTTAAGTCGGTTTGGGGTTCGTTAGTTTCGGGGTTAATATCGCTGTTTTCCACGTGAGTTAGTTCTTGGAATGTAAAGTTTGGTTTACCTGTGGGTTGGAAATGATTATATTGTGGTCTTATTTGAGAAAATGGCTTTTTGTGTTGTATACTTACACCTGACACTAGTTGGGGGTATTGATTGTGTGGGGTTGCTGAAAGGGTTGCCTGAAAAATTGGTTTTGTTTCATTCTTAGGTTTGAAAACTTTGAATTTGAAGTGACGTTTGATTGGGGCGTTTGAAAGGTAAATTCGGTTGTCTGTGGATTGAATTGATGGGTTGTTGAATGTTCTTTGGGTGTTTGACAAAATATGATTGATTGGTTTCTGTATATTGTGCCGCATTAGGTTGTTATTTTGTAAATAATTATTTTTAAACTGACTTTGACTTGTAAGGATTTCGTAATATGTAATAATGTCAATAGCATTATCTAGATTTTGAACTATAATTAACGTTCTCAACTCATTAGAAATATTTGCCAAAAGATTTTGTGTTGCTGTTAATTCGTTTTGAGAAATTAATATTGCTCTCGCTTCGGCATTTTGAATTTCAGAATATATTTTTGTATTAACTTTGGTGACTAAAGCTTTGAGTTTTTTGATATAATCTTGAGTAGATTCATTTTTATAAAAATATTAATTGTTGCTGAAGATTTGCACGAGTGATTGGATCACTGAATTTTTGTATTAAAGACAATCTTATCTCGGCCCAAGTTGTAAGGTCTGGTCGAGTAATAAAAAATCTTCGGCTGGTCCTAGTATTTTTGATTTAATTGCCAAAATAACGTATTCTTGTTGCGATACATCGTTGTTAAAATATGTTGCGTGGAAAGTGTCGATTTGTTTAATAAAAGAATCCAAACGAGAAGGGGTATTATCAAAGGTTTTTAGCAAACAAACGGTTGATCTCAAAGCGTCGGCCATTGCCCTAATACTTTCAGTTTCTAAATTAGTATTTATAGAAGTAGAATTATTTTCGTCTATAGAATATATTAGAGAAATATTAGAGTAAAGTTCGTCTATATCTCGCGGGATTATTTGTGGAATTATTTCTTCGATTTCTTGATCAAATTTTCGCCAACAAATTTAAAATGTTCACTTCTTAACTAACAGGGGTCACAACTATAAGGAACAATTCGGTAAAAACTTACAATAAGTTCCTAGTTTCGTTTCTGTATAAACCAACATGTTCGTCGGAGAGATTCACTTTCCAAGCGAGGTACTGGTTGTAGTGGACTCTGGGTTAGACTAATTCGTCCCGCTGGCTCTCGAACAGCGTACCGATACTCGATGGTGCCAGGAGTCCCAAGTGCTCTGCGTAGTAAATCTGGAATCCTTTTCTTAACCGTTGAAACGGAAGCGTGTTGTACCATCCAGTCGACAAATCACGATCGATTCGCGACGGCAATCCGGTACACTACTTGCAACGGAAAGTTTTCCAAAAAACAAGCGGAAAAGGATCCTACCGACTGCGCCAATTTTATTTTAAAATATGGAACACGTATTTTTAAAAACGATTTATATTTATATTACAAGTAAAACACAATATTTAGTGACGCAAAGCGACTTAAAGACTGTCTTATCTTCTGAATAATGCGCATATTTATATAATTAAAGTTGCTGAATAAGCATTCTTTATTAAACATACTCAGCATAAGTGGCCATATAACTTGCTCTTGACAAACTCAATCCAACAATATACAGAGTGACTCATTTAAAAAAGACTTATACATTTTGTCTATTTCTCGAAAATAATTGTACATGCAAAAAATCAGGGTATGCCACTAAATTCTGCGCAAAAACGACAAAGAAACTAATTTTTAATGTTCTAATAAGATATCTCTTAAAATCATCGAAAAGTGGGCCCTGTTATTTCGTTTTTTGTATTTTTTCAAATATTTGATTCTTGAATATATTGTCTTGTGTAGTGAGTTTTATTTCTTCAACAGGAATAGTCTCTAGTGACTCAACATTTAGGAAGGCTCATGCTTCCACATGAAAACTATTTGATTTATGCACATGTAACATTGCCGCTATTGTCAGCATCCAAGTTAGCATCTAATGTTATAATGATATTCACAATAAATGATTATTGCTTTATAAATTATTTTTCAAAAAAACTACCACACACTTCTGTAATACTATTTATAAATTTTCGGGATTCATCCTGCGTCGATTGTGGATGAACCGAACTTACTTACGTTTCTCCAATTATCCTGTTTGCTTCTTCAGAACTTAACTGAAACAGGCTCGCATTCTACTGTGTACCTACTTATATAGTGTTACAGAGAGGCGGAGCTAAAGGAGGGACATGAACATTGTCTTGGATGATTGATTCTCAAAGATAAATCCCATAATCCATAGAAATCTCTAAACAACCAAATAAATTTAACTGCGGCTCATGTCTTCACCGTTCACTCAGTCATCCGAGATAATCTTTATGCTATCGTGCCCTCCTTTAGCTGCAACCCCCTCAAACAATATATTAGCACGTACGGAGTAGATTGGGAGCCAATACGATTGTTATCCTGTTTTCTTTTTGAGATTTAAATGAGGTTTGTTTTCCTTTCCAGACGCGACCTGAAATGACGCCGCCACTCAACTGCGACTCTATTTCCGAGTTATGAATTGGATGGATACCATAACACTTTTATCTTTTTGTTTATTGAGTTTGGAGGGCGTCAGCTCACAAAATGCGTCTACGTTCGAAGCAGCGTCGTGTTCTTGTTCAACCGAAAAACCATACCGTATAGAACAAACAAATAGTGATGCCCTCAGCGCAATAAGCCGAAACACAAAGCACAAACGGCAGGTGACCGAAGAAAGTTACGACTATGACGACAAAGAGATGGGAAATTTTTCCAGGAATGATTCGGACTCTTTCGATCCGATGACGATCGAAGATATTAAAGAGTACATTTTTCCGAAAAGCTGGACGTGGGTACTAATACTGTTGCACAGCGTAGTTTTTGCCATCGGGTTGTTGGGTAACGTATTGGTGTGCGTCGCCGTCTACAGAAACCACAGTATGAGGACGGTGACCAACTATTTTATAGTAAATTTGGCGGTGGCTGACGCTTTGGTAATATTGTTCTGTTTGCCGTTTTCGGTAGTGTGGGATGTGACTAGTACTTGGTGGTTCGGCACGGCTATGTGCAAGTTCGTCTTGTATGTCCAGGTAAGGCTGTGGTCGTTGTGACAATATTTTTCACTAGCGTTGCCTACACAGATGACACAATTGACACACTTTTTTGCCCTTTTTATCGTTATATTGGGTCACCTATTCATGAAAGCGTGATATTTGATGAACAAAGAACACTTCCACAGATAGCAATAGAACTTTGGTTCAGCTTTACTTGACGTTGAAGAATTTTATTTGAACAGAGAAAAAAACTAAACATATACATGATTATTAAGCTAAATTATTTTCTATTACTTTATACAAAAAATGCATTATACAGAAATTAGATGATAAAATATGCTTACTTTTTAAGACAATCATCTTGTTGGCTTCTGAAACTGGATTTCATTCTACTCTGTACTTGCTTATATACTAATTGAGGGAGGCCGCAATTTCCTAAATTTTGTCTTTCGCAAGATCTTTTGATATGTAATGTTGTAATGTATTGAGTTGATGTTTTAAATGCAGTGGGACTACAGTGAAAAGTATGAGGTTGCCTTCGGACTCATTTTCTTTTGGCGATTGTGTTGAAGTGAATTTTGTAATAGAACGCTTAATATATCTAATGTAAAAATTAGTTGAGAAAAGAGCAGATGTCAGTAGTTTAGTCGGTAGTAGTTTAGTTTTACGACTTGGTAAACAAGAGACTTGATAACCGATGGCTTCTAGAACGGATGGTGATGTGACAATGCATTAAGGTATTGGGTCTTCTATAAACTGAATGACGTCAGGTCTGATTTTTTATGGATTAGAAAATCTAAGAATCGGAATATATATATATATATATATATATATATATATATATATATATATATATATATATATATATATACAAACAAACTGTTAATTATTGGGATCACCCCAACTTCGATGGATCGCCGTAAAGGGAGCAATAAAAGATGTTGAAGCTCAAAGTAAAGTGGCAATTTATTGTAATATCTAGCTTTCGCCCATGGATACAGGCTTCATCAGGACACTAAGTCATATAGAGAACAAAAAAAAAAACTTCATCAGAGTTGACAATCTAACCAAAAAATAGTGAAAAAACTTACACAACACGCCTCTTTCAACCTCTACATATAGAGAGATGACATTGGTATATAAAATAAAGTGTTTCGCCCGTTCTAACTATCAACATAACACTCGATGGATGAAATTTATGGAAAAAATTTACAATTGTAAAAAATATTAACCTCCACCACAACGTTATAAAACAATCCCACTAACATAAAACGTTAAGGTCAATAAAATATTCGGATTGATAAAATATTAAAAGATGAAAAAAAAACAGCCGATTTGTTACAAATGACACTCCGTATTGTCGAGAAGGAAAACTAAATGTGCGGGAACTTATTAACAATTCGCAATAACCTAAAAAAGCCACAACCAAAAAACCGGTCAATGATACCAACTGTACAGCCAACCATAACATATGTAAAACACCAAACAAGGGAGGGAATTTTAAACAGAATTCTTTCAAATATGCACCCATTGTACACTATTTATATAACTATGTTTACATTATTGAAGTTAACGTTAAGGGTAATGTCTTTAAGATTGGAATAGAAAGATTTGAGGGGTCTTAAGTTGTAATTGGCAATTTTTATATTAGTATCTTTAAAGATCCTAATCAGAGCCGGGGACAATCTATCTATATACTGTAGTTTGCCAAAACTAGGCAACTCATTATTAACATTAAGCTGTGGTTGTAAAGCATTAGGCAGGTCTGTAGTGGCACTATTACAGGAGAGAATTTTATTTATTAACGATGGTGGGTATTTATTATTAATTAGTAGGTTCCTTAATAACATTAAGTTCTTATTTAACAGACTATGGTGACATATTTTTTTAATGCGATCAGTCAATGCTACAATCATATTGATCTTTTGTTTTTTAGGATGATACGATGTGAAGGGAATGTATCTACCGGAACTAGTAACTTTTCTATGCCAATCAACAATAACTAAATTTTCACTCGTGCGAATGACCTTTGTGTCAAGGAAAGGGACTGAACGATCTGTCTCCGTCTCCACCGTGAAAGTGAGATCGGAATGAAAGGAATTGAAAATTTCGAGTGTGGATTCGATGAGGTTAAGTGGAACTGCTGTTAATAAATCATCCACATATTGATATATGAAGGGGAATTCAAAACTAACTCTGTCTATCACATAATAAAGTAATTTGTTCATAACAATCTCAGCAATCACAGGGGAGGCCGCATCCCCCATAGGAAGGCCCTTCACTTGAGAAAAAAGTATTATTATATAGGAAAGTTTCCGTATCCAAAAACTCCTTCTATAATATCAACAACTAACTGTAATGGAATATGAGTAAATAAGGACACTGCATCGAACGAGACAAGTGAAAAATCAGATGGTAAAATAGACTCATTAATACGCTCCGCAAACTCAAAGCTATCTTTAACCCTAAACTTATTGAAGCTACTAAAAGACTTATAAAGAATTTGACTAATAAATTTAGCTAAGGGTTGCGTCGACGCACCTACACATGAAACAATAGGGCGTAAAGGGTAACCATCTTTATGTATCTTCGGCAACCCATAATATTTGGGGCAGACACCATTGTAGGTTTTGAGGTTACGAGCCGTGGTATCATCAATATAGCCAAGGTTGTTAATTTTCTTGATAATATTATTGCATTGCGTTTCTATTGAATGTGTAGGGTCCCTTATAGGTAGGTAAGTGTTAGCATCATTTAATAATATGAGAGATTTTTCTATGTAATCTTCTTTAGTCATAGCCACCGTGACATTACCCTTATCAGATTTAGTGATAACCAAGTTAGGATTAGCTTTTAAAAATCGTTTCGTACGACGCTCTATATCATATGTAGGTGGGGCGACACTAGCAACAACACTGGAATTAATGTAATTAGTGATGAGATTAGTGGCCCTCGTTCGCAGGAGGTCTCGTTTTTGTTCATCTGAGTTCTGGATAATGATTTCTACCTCAGAGAGTAGTTTAAAAATATCTATATGTTGAGGTGACACAGGAAGGCTAAATTTAGGACCAAGCGAAAGAAAACCCCTAACATCATCAGGAATCTCAATATTGGACACATTCTTGAACCAATTAGAATTGTCAGTGGTATATAAATCACTACTATTAGCTTTCCTTGAGTTTAACTTTCGAAGGTTAGACTTTTTTATCTTGTTAAATAGTGTGTCATATTTAACGTTTTGTGTATATAAAAATTCGTCAAGGACTCTAAATGGAATGTTACATCTTAAGAAATCAACAGCCCAACTAAGTCTAGATTCCAACATCTTAATTGCTCGAAAGGTGTCATAGATAGTAATGTTATGTAATTTATGTGTTACCTTCTGAGTTAAAAATTCTATTTGTGAAGTGTTACTGTGGTTGAGTCGTTGAGGTATCTTCCAAAAATGTTGTGTACTATCCTCCAAAAATCGGGGGGTAAGGTGCAATCTTCTGCATTCTAACAAGAAAACGCGTCTGTTACGTTGATGTGCAAGTCCTCTATTAGTGTTGGTGACCGTTTTTAGTGCTCTGGCCACAGCTGGTCCAAATTCCATTGTCATCCTCTGATAAAATGATCCCATGGTCTACGTCTACAAGAAGAAGCGAAGGACAGTAACGGGGCTACTGGTAACACACAAACAAACTGTTAATTATTGAGATCACCCCAACTTCGATGGATCGCCGTAAAGGGAGCAATAAAAGATGTTGAAGCTCAAAGTAAAGTGGCAATTTATTGTAATATCTAGCTTTCGCCCATGGATACAGGCTTCATCAGGACACTAAGTCATATAGAGAACAAAAAAAAAACACTTCATCAGAGTTGACAATCTAACCAAAAAATAGTGAAAAAACTTACACAACACGCCTCTTTCAACCTCTACATATAGAGAGATGACATTGGTATATAAAATAAAGTGTTTCGCCCGTTCTAACTATCAACATAACACTCGATGGATGAAATTTATGGAAAAAATTTACAATTGTAAAAAATATTAACCTCCACCACAACGTTACAAAACAATCCCACTAACATAAAACGTTAAGGTCAATAAAATATCCGGATTGATAAAATATTAAAAGATGAAAAAAAAAAACAGCCGATTTGTTACAAATGACACTCCGTATTGTCGAGAAGGAAAACTAAATGTGCGGGAACTTATTAACAATTCGCAATAACCTAAAAAAGCCACAACCAAAAAACCGGTCAATGATACCAACTGTACAGCCAACCATAACATATGTAAAACACCAAACAAGGGAGGGAATTTTAAACAGAATTCTTTCAAATATGCACCCATTGTACACTATTTATATAACTATGTTTACATTATTGAAGTTAACGTTAAGGGTAATGTCTTTAAGATTGGAATAGAAAGATTTGAGGGGTCTTAAGTTGTAATTGGCAATTTTTATATTAGTATCTTTAAAGATCCTAATCAGAGCCGGGGACAATCTATCTATATACTGTAGTTTGCCAAAACTAGGCAACTCATTATTAACATTAAGCTGTGGTTGTAAAGCATTAGGCAGGTCTGTAGTGGCACTATTACAGGAGAGAATTTTATTTATTAACGATGGTGGGTATTTATTATTAATTAGTAGGTTCCTTAATAACATTAAGTTCTTATTTAACAGACTATGGTGACAAATTTTTTTAATGCGATCAGTCAATGCTACAATCATATTGATCTTTTGTTTTTTAGGGTGATACGATGTGAAGGGAATGTATCTACCGGAACTAGTAACTTTTCTATGCCAATCAAGAATAACTAAATTTTCACTCGTGCGAATGACCTTTGTGTCAAGGAAAGGGACTGAACGATATATATATATATATATATATATATATATATATATATATATATATATATATATATATATATATATATATATATATATATATATATATGCAAACAAAACAGCGACTCGCGCTGTTTTCTTTGCATTTTCTTGTTATATATCGCTTTTCTCGAGTATTTTTCTAATTTTCTGTCC